TCATAGATTATCATAGAATATCATAGATTGTCATAGAATATTATAGATTATCATAGATTATCATAGATTATCATAGATTATCATAGATTATCATCGATTATCATAGATTCTCATAGATTCTCATAGATTACGTAGATTATCATAGATTATCATAGATTACATAGATTACATAGATTACATAGATTACATAGATGACAATAAATAGATCAGATTGGACTGGATTTGCTTGGCTTTTCTTAAATTGAATTGAATTAGATAGATAGATTAGATGGCTTGCATAGATAGATTGGATTAGGTTGATTTGGACTAGATTGGGTTTGGATAGATTCAATCGGATTAGATTGGGTTAGGTCAGATTAGATCGGATTAGATTGAGTTTGACTAGATTAGATTGGTTTAGGTTAGATTAGATTTGATTAGATTTAGATTAATAAGCATTTGATCAGCTTAGATTAGATAGATAGATAGACAGACAGATAGATAGATAATAGACAACCATAGATTGCCAAAATATTTTAGATAGATTAAAAGTGTCTTTGATGGATTAGATAGATTGGGCAATTGGATTGCACAAATAGATTAGGTGAGAATTAGACCTACATATATTTTTTGAATTTAGATTAGATCAACAAACAGGATATGTGGATAAATGAATGGGTAGACAGATTAGGTAGTTAGGTAGTTAGGTAGTTAGGTAATTCATTTGTTAGTTAGTTTGTTGGTTTGTTTGTTAGTTAGATAGTTAGTTAGTCAGTTGGTTAATTAGTTGGTCAGTTAGTTGGTTAGTCAGTTAGTGGGTTAGTTGGATTGTTTGTTTATTAGTGAGTTAGTTGGGTAGCTAGTTTGTTAGTTTGTTAGTTTGTTACTTGGCTACTTAGTTAGTGTGTTACTTAGTTGGTTTGTTACTTAGTTAGTTAGTTTGTTGGTTAGTTAGTTAATTAGTTAGCAGGTAAGTAGGTTAGCTAGCAAGTAAGCTAAATAGTTAGCTGGTAAGTAAGTCAGCAAGTTAGTTTGTTAGTTTCTTAGTTGGTTGGTTGGTTGGTTGGTCGGTTCGCTGGCAAGTTACTTAACGAGTTGGTTGGTTGGTTAGTTAGAAAAATACGACGTACAACGGACTGACTGCCATGCAAATAATGTAGATGAATTGATAGATCGATAGATAGATAGCTGTCTAATCGAATCTAATGCAGTCCAAATCAATCTAATTTAGTCCAATCGAACCAAATCTATCCAAATCTATCCAAATCTTTCTATCTCTAGCCACCTAGCTATCTAGCTATCTAGCGATCTAGCTATCCACCTAGCTATCTATCTATCTATCTATCCATCCATCCATCCATCCATCTATTTATCACTCTCCATGTTGTTAACCATGGCTTTTCCTCACCTTCCGCCACCCTTCCCACCTTTGGAATGCGCTACCGCCAGGTCAATGTCTCCCAAGAGCGCCATCAAGGAATACTCGCAGGAAGGCGCCGGGAAGTCCTGACGGGGAGAACGTTGAAACCGGACACCCCCGACAAACTCATGGTGATATATATATATAATATATATAGTTGATATGTAGTGATATGATATAATATAGTGATTATATATTCAAAAAAACGTGGTTTCTTGTAGATCTTCCCGTAACATCAATGGAAATCCAGACAAAATTGATGTGCTCGTAGCCTCTGCGAAAGTAACATAGCTATGCTGGTTGATGGTTTCAACTCCTCTGAAAATATGAGTTCGTCAGTTGGGATCATTCTTCCCAACTGAATGGAAAGTAACAAAATCCCATGGTTCCAGTCACCACCAACCAGCTATTATCCCATTAAAATGGCCATTTATAGTTGATTTACCCATTAAACATGGTGATTTTCCATTCATCCTACCGTATTTCTATTTAGAATGCTGGGAATTTCGCCAGGTTCAGTTCACCAGAGAGTCACGGAAAATTGACAGCGCCACATCTGGGCAGACTGGGGGTCAAAATTGAAGACAAGGCGCTTGGGGAACCACAGATTAACATGGGATTCACCATCCAATGATCCAATGATCCAATGATCCAATGATACCGAATTTGGACCCAAAAATTTGTTGAAGAGAAGACTTTTGAAATCAATATGTACAAAGATTGGAATTTCAGTAATTTCAGCAACAAAGGCGTGGTATTGTTCACCTCCCAAAAGGAAGAGTTGTGCATTTCTTGGGTACCCCAATACACACATTACAATGACCTGCCAATTTGCGGTTCCACCACTCTTCAATTTTTGACATATGCACACACACACACAAACAATATATGGACAAAGTTTGGTTACAGCATTTGCAGAGCTGCGTACCATTCACAACCCAGTACCTCATTCAATTCTGGTTGGTGGTGCAATAACCATCTTGAAAAATCATGGAGTTCGTCAATGGGAAGGATGACATCCCATATATTAATATATATTATGGAAAATAAAAGTCATGTTTGAAACCACCAACCAGAATTCATGTTTTCTTCATAAAAATACCCCATCTCGGAAGAGTTTTCAACACATGAAGGCGTCCGTTTCCAGGTTGATGGCATCGTCGGACAAAGTTGCTATTGGGGGGGAAATCCAAGTCGACAAAGATCAACAAAGCAGTTTTCTGGGTTTTTTTTCGACTTTTCAATTTTTTTTGGATTGTTTTCAACTTTTAATGTTTTTTCGACTTTTCAATTTTTTCAACTCATGTTCCTCTGACTCTAAAACAGCGCCCTAAAAATTTACCGCAGGGAAGGGTGTCCTTTTTCTGCAGCGCAACAGCGCGCAACAGCTCAAGCTGCTCAATCGAATTTCTGGCCCAGTTGCAGGCACAGGTCACGGCCAACTTTTCAACTCCCCTGGGGGGGTTATTGATCCCCTCAAAAAGCTGAGGACCTTGGCTTCAGATTTTAGATTTCCAAAACTGGGTCTGATGATCGATCTTGAGGTCTATGCCATAATGCAGTATATTTAAAAATCAACCGTTTTTTCTTTGAAACCATATTTTCGTCTTTTTTGTTGGGGGAGAAGAAGCACCAAATGCCTTGTTAATATCGGTCCTGTGGAAGGCCGGCCACTTGGCTATGGAAAATCCGGGGAGTTTCCGCATTGGTCCGATGACCACATGGTAAGCTAATGTAACTATGGGAAATCACCACTTTATAGCTGGGTAAATCCACTATTTCTATGGCCATTTTCAATAGCTATGTTAAATTACCAAAGGGTACCACATGGTTTCCATTCGGTTTCCCATGAAATCTCTCGCTTTAAGCCACCGCTGTGCAGGCATAGAACGGGCGCTTGATTCCTGCGGATGAGCTCACCGAGCTGTGGGAAAGCATGTCTTTCCAATGACGCAACCAATGCCAGATTGGAAGCTCCGGATTAGACTGGGAAAAAAAAACATACAATTAATACCAATTATGTGTAATTAGACATGACTATATGCGATGAATTCAAGTGAATTCTGATGACTTCCAACCCAATTTTTCTTCGTTCCGCACTGCAGAGCTCATCCCAGTATTCGTTTCGTCTATCTCAAATCAATGCAGATCGCATCAGATCGCGTCCCCAAAGGCTTGCGGCGGTCCAGTGGTCCAGGTTCAAAATGCTGGGGTTAATCACAATTATCATATGATTAATCATTTAGCCACAACATCATTCGTCCAGTTCAGAAAAAAATGATTGTGTGATGATGGGTGCTCAAGTTATTCATGTTTGAGTGCAGTTTCGAGTTCCAGTTATCCACTGGCGCCGTGAAAATATACGGGTAGATCAGTAATTAGGTATCTAAATTCGATGATTGTTTTTTTACTCCCAATCAAATGAGTAGGAGAACAGTATAACGATGTAAAATCCACAACAACAACAAATATACAATACATATACAACATATAATAACTGGTTTTATGTGGTTTTAATCATCTTGAAAAATATGAGTTCGTCAATGCGAAGGATGACATCCCAGATATGAAATGGAAAATAAAAAGAGATTTGAAGCCACCAGCCAGCTATAGATAGGTACCCCATAAACTCTACGGCTGGGGGCTCATCCCACTTGGCTCGGGGGGTCAGTGGGTTAGTTCACCCACCAGAGAACCAACCAATGGCTCTGTTCACTGCTTCACTCAGAATCCGAGCAACAAATACCACCTATACGGCGTGATGTTTCAGGACATGTGAAGGATCATGTGAAGGATCTGTGAAGGATCTGTGCGATGAACCAAATAAATCCAAATAAGCCAAAAAGCTGATCACCACCCCCGAAAGCTCATACAAACAACATGTCATATCCTTTAAGAATCAACAAAGCCAAGCAGAAACATCATCACCGCGAGGGAAACCCTAAATCCACCCATTTCTTTTCAGATGTTCGGATCTTTCAGATCATCAGTTGCAATCCACAGCTTGGGCGACGGCACATCGCTTACAGCATTGATTTGCAAAAATCGATGGAGAGGCCACCGATGTGCAAAAAGCTTGTCTCAGGTGCACCATGACTGGAAACAGTGCAAAAACATGCAGCGGGAAATAGAACATCATTAAAATATAATTAAAACAACACCAAAGAAAGTGGCTCACCATAAAATAATTAGGTTCGGATTTGCCATGTCACTGTTGTGGTAAACCCAGCGATCAATTTCTTCATGGTGTATGACGTGTATGACAACATATCCTCAAAATCCACTGGTCCATCATCATCTTCTCTACTTGGATGTGCATCCCAGTTAGAAAGTGGTTTATCACGAATACATGTATAAAATTGTATGTGTACATAGGGATATCCCGTTGATCTATATAACTAGGGTATAAATCTCTATTAAAATCGCAATGTTTGATGGTTTTGGCAGTTGTGGCCCTTAAGAGTTATACATATTTATAAATGGGATCAAATAACTCCTGCAACTGGTTGGTTATACAGCACTTACATATACTTAAATGATCTTAAATAAGGTTAATAAACCAGTTATAACTGGCTCTGGGGCTATAACTGTGGCTCCTGATCTACACCATTCTACACCTGAGAAGCAAAAGGCTGCAGGGCCCACAGCCAGGGCCCGCGTAGCCGGTCTCGAATTCTGGGCCGCAGCCGCACGCTCCTCAGGACACGTCAGCAACAAAAAACAGGCTGTAACCAGCAAGAGTGGGGACATAGAACCATTCATCAATCCATACAATGGACCTGACATACTCATTAACAAAGCTTTATTTTATAAATTTTGCAGTAACCAGAAATCGATAGTTTCATGCGAAAAAAATGAAGAAACCCTACTGACTATGCACAGTTTCAAAGCCTCATGGCGGGTGTTTCCTGAGGAGGTAACCCCCAACTTATGCTGGGCTGTCCACCGGGTTGAACGGGCAACCGATGAATTTCTTGGACCATGGACATCAAAACAGGATAAAACAGGGATATTGGCCACAACAATAGGGATAGGACAAACACCAGTGGATGTATCACCAACAACAACAAGATTGACAAGCGACGAAAAAAAAAGGACACCCAAAAGATTGGAAATGCTTCGTCAACTTCCTCCACCAAATTCAAGGTCTACTGCTAGTAAAACAAGACGAATCATCCATGTGTGGATGCGGAATTGTATCCATTTCTTCAGTTACACCCTTGTCAAGCACAAAATGGCTGCCATGAAACCGCCAGTTTAATCTTGGAAAGAAAAATTATTAAGATTTATTAAGTCTTGATGGGAAAAACCTTGGAAAATCCGAAAAAATCGTGTCAACATTCGCCCCTGCGCAATCCTGGGATTGGGGGGTCCCAGGGTCGATCTGCGAGATAATCATCCGGTAAACGTGGAAGATCCTCCATGTTTTTCAGTTGATTTTTCAAAAGATGACCTTCCCCCCAAAAAAAAACTCCATAAATGGTGCAGGGATTTCATCCATTTAAAGGGGATTTTCTATGATTTCATCCCCATTAAACCTCCATGTTCTATAGAAATTCCTCCATTTAAAAAAGGGGATTTTCGAGCCATGTTCGATTGCAGGAGGGTAATCGGGTCCATCCAGTGATGAAAAGACCTTAGAAAACTGTGGTAAAAATCCTGTAATGTGGTAAACCCAATAATAATCAACCATCCCCAATTGGTAGGTTTATTATGGTTTATTATATGTCATTGTTATTGGATTTACCACATGAAGTTGTTTCCGCTAGAACCAAAAAAGTGAATCAACCAAGTTCTTTGAAACTACGAGTACTAGTCAGTTGGGGTTACTGTTCCCAATATATGGAAAAATCAAACATGTTCCAAACCACCCACCAGAAACCTATATCATATAACCATTAGTTAAACATCACTTAAACCATGTTAAAACGTTAAACCGATTTAATCATAAAACCACCATGGAATGGACACAGTAGAGGTCAGTTAACCTCAGTAGTGTTTCAACTAAAACAAACCTTGAGGTTAAATCATGAACCATCTGGGTGAATGTGAAACAACCAGGTCAAATCTCAGTTTTCCCCAGAAAATCTGCCGCCCAGTAACTCCACTGCCGCCTATTCCTCTGCCACACTGGGCTCAAACGCCCGCTGCTCCGCCTCCTGCTCCGCCTCCTCCTCGACCGGCGCACCGTTTGGACCACCGGGGGCACCGCGGGAGCGGCGCCGGGCCAGTTCGGAGCCCACGTAGAGCCTGAAAATCCGGAAGATCTTCAGGAAAATCTGCAGGAAATCATGGTTTTACATGTTTTTACCAATATATATATATATATATATGTGTGTGTATATGTATATGTATATGTATATGTATATGTATATGTATATGTACATATATATATATATATGTATATGTACACATATATATATATATACATACATATATATATATATATACATACATATATATATATGTATTTGTAATATGTATGTATATATATATATATATACATTATATGTCTATGTCTATTTTGGGGTTTTCCTGTAGATGTTCGGCCATTTCTGGGACACGAAAATAAGCAAATACAACAAATTAGTGTGGATTCAAGTTGATTCAAGCAACCAAAATGAGAAATTCACCAACAAAAATGAGAAAACATGCCTATTCTCTGCGGGTTATTTACTTTGTTTGTCCAGCATCAAAATTTCTGGTGGCATTCCAATCTCCAGATTTTCTAGTCTGGAAGGTGGAATCCCAAGTGTTCCAGTATAGATTGGATACCCTCTGGTAATTTAACAGTTTGCGAAGTGGAAAATCATGGAAAATCACCCTTTTAATTAGGTAAATCATGGAACTAAATTGTCATTGTTCAATAGCTAAATTAGCAGAGACTATCCGTTGTGGATGAAAAAAAAAAGACTTCACCGACCTGAAATACCCGAATCCTAATTCCAGGGAGGTCGGAAGTGGCGTGGTTATTCAGGCAGATGATATTCCATTTGGAGACTTCTGACCAGGAAATATCTCAGTTTTATCTGATGCCCTAACAATATCCATTTGTTCATAATTTTTCATGATCAATCACAATAAACCACCATGTTTATCATGCTTACTGCTGAAATCAGCATTTTTGTTGGTTGAAATCAGCATTTTTGTTGGTTGAAATCAGCATTTTTGTTGGTTGAAATCACCATTGTTGCTGGCTAAAGCACCATTTCTGCTGCTGAAATCACCATTTTTTTCCTCCCGTGTCGCGTCAAAAAAAGGTCCGGCGACCGCACCTGGCAGTCTTGATCCCTGGGCCCACCATAGTTATCCCTCGACGGATCTGCTCCTCGAGGTTCAGTTGACCATTGGGTATAATAGGATATAGAGAATAGTCATACAATGGTGAGTATCATAGTTTACATATTATAGTATAATAGTATATGACTATCTAACATCATATAACTATCTAATATTTTTTGGAATATCTCATGGATATTCTATATAGTGGATATTCTATATAATGTTATAATGAAATATTCTAATATATCCTATTATACTAACATTAGAATAGATCATTATCACAGAAAGCAGGAGCGAGCCCTCTGTATCTGACCCCCTCATCTTGAAGGGCCACTTTGAACAGCACCCAAAATCGAGCTGAGCCTCCCCTGTGTGTTGCTTAGTTGTTGATGTGAGGGCCCAAAACCATTGAAAAACAGCAGGTATCATTGATGTGACCCCCCCCCATCTTAACTGCTCTTAGCTGCTCTAAGCCCTCAAGAGCATCACCAAAAGAGCACTTGAGAGCTGATATGAGCCAGTTGTGAGTTGAGTCCGTGCCTCTCGTGTGTTAAGAGCACTCAAGAGGGATTGAGAGCCATTATCAAGGGTGTAAGAGTCACAGGGATGATGAGGGCTTTTAGAGGCACTATAAAGGATTTTCAGGCCTTTATGGGCTCTTTACAGCAGTTCTTTGACTTACCTGCTCCCACCGCCAGATAAGGAGGGTCACACCCAAGGGGGTAGCAACTGTTTTCTATGACATTCTATATAGTCATATAATGTTAGATAGTTATATATATAATTTTAGATAGTTTTATATAGTTAGTTAAGTATATTTGTATAGTACAATATAGTATATAATATGTATATAATAGTTATATATAGTCAATAGGTGTTATATATAGTTATTATGTATATAGTTTGTATATATATATAGAGAGAGAGTTAAGTATAGTATATATCATTATATATAGTCATATAATGTTAAATGGTTATATATAATCATATATAGTCATATGTTATCAACATTACAGTCAAATATAGTCAAATATAATATATAGTCATATGTAGGTGGGTATAGTTATGCAATGATAGATATATGTATATGTATATGTGTATATATATATTTGTATAGGAATATATACTCATAATAATAGTAATGTGGGAAAAACAATGCCAGAAACCACCCATGACTGAGAATGGTAAAACTAGCACCAATAAAAATGGTGAAGTTGATATTGTTTTACCACCATTATATGAGTTTATATATAATTCAATAGTTGGGTATAGTTATATAATGTTATATATATATATATAAAGTATCATGAAATATAACTAGTTGGGTATACGTGTATATATAATATTATATAGTCAAAACATCATTATATAACTATACATAACTATACTATTCAAGATTATATTCAATACTATCATTAACATACTATAGTCAAAATTCTAAGCATTCTATAGTATAATGGTATCATAGTGGGTATAATAAGTATAGTACTATGACTATATCCAACTATCATTCTATTAATAGTTGCTATATCACTATAGTAGCTATTTTAAGTCACTAAGAGTAGATATCACTACAACAACTAGATATAATGACTATAGCTATAGAAGGATAGTTGTATGTATATGTGTATGTGTTGACCCACGCACTATAATAGTAGTTTAATATCCGTACTTTTCTTGTTTTATTAAAATTTGCATCTTTAGTTCCAACTATATAGTTCATAATACCTTTATATATATAGATAGATATAAGGGAATGATAATTGGACATATCTATGGTTTTATTGTGTATATTAGTAAATATAATGACATATTTAGTATATAGTATAATGAAAATATAACTATCATTGTAATGAACTATAGTGTATAGATGATCATTATCGTATAGAGTAGTAGTTATAATAGTATAATTATATAATAGCTTTAGTTGAACATATGATAGTATAATAACAATTGTAACGATAGTTCTCTATTAACTATATCTATTAGAACTGAACTATAGTTGTATATAGTTGTATCTATAGTTGTATCTATCGTTCAATGTATGAACTATAGGTACTAGATAGTTGAGTTATAGTTATGGATGGATGTATCTATATATATATCGTAACATTCATGTATATTCATCTACAGCTGCAAATAATTATGTGCATCAACATATTGATATCAGATATACACATGTTTCGTGTTTCTGTTTGAAGATATCCTGTACCGAGAACTCAACTCATGACGTCTCCTTTGATGTGAACCTTTCCCAAAAACCGGGGAATCTTCCTCTGGTGTCTAAAAAAACCCCATCAATACTGGTTGGTGGTTGACCTACCCCTCTGAAAAATATGAGTTCGTCAGTTGGGAGTATGACATTCCCAATATATGGAAAGTCATAAAAGTCATGTTCCAAACCACCAACCAGAATAGTAGTGTTCCTAAAATGGAGATCCCCCAAGCCCAAGTCACCATGGTTGTTTCAATACTAAAATGTACTAAACATGGTCTAATGTTGGTGATATGGGAGTTATATAATTTATAAACCTCCATCACCAAAATTTATCACCAAAATTATATAACCTACTCCCATATCACCATATAATGTCAATTCTAATCATGAGGAAACCTCCATCTAGAATAAACATGAATAAACCGTGGCAATGGCGATGGTGCCCTCATGTTGATGCTTAATGAAACATTGGTGCCAACACCTCGTTACCTTGTTTCTTGCACCACCAAAAAAGGGGCATCTATAGATGCGAACAATGTTGAACCAAATGGGCGGATTTTCCAGCAACAGACTATGATAGGGTAGTTCCAAATGATTTTGTCATGTTTAAATCTACAAGGGTAAACTTCAGGACTCATCCCTTTCTATCATGTGCTTGGGTCCCACTCAATTCCTAGCTCCCACTGGCTTCCCATTTTCTATATATAGATAGCCCAACCGCTCTCCCTCCATTCACCACTGGATAGCGATTCTCTCATCCAATCTGGCTGCTTGCATAACTGCTATTATGGGGCCAGCTATGGGGATGAATCCCCTTCCATTCAGCATCATTCCAGTGACGAAAGCTGACGTGAGGTCATTTTCATTGTTTTTCATCCAGATCATCAGTGCCTTCATATATCCCCATGAAGATCGCTTGGAAATATCCAACCACCTAAGAGTTTTCTATGTTCATGAGATCCCATTAAATCCACATTAAATCCTCATATCATGGGATAAATAAATGATGTCAATCCGATCAATGGTGATACATCCCATTCATATCCCATTAATCCACATAAAAAAAAAAAACATTAAACCACCATTAAGCCACCATTAGCTATGGAAAATGGCCATGTATAGTGAGTTTTCCCATTCCAAATGGTGGATCTTTCCAGTTCGTTTTCTGTATGTTGACCAGAGGGTAAATGCCCTAGTTCACCGTGAAATCCCCTTCTGAAATGAACTCAGTTCGGAAGCGCCGTCAAGTCACCACACCCTGCTTGGTGACGCCAAAGCCTGCGTCCACCGCCTCGTCGGATCCCACGGTCCCAGGGCTCTGAAACCATGACTGGTTGGCAGGAGAAACCTACCCTTCTCGGTTAGGATGATGAAATTCCCTTCTCTGGCCATGGAAAGTCATAAAATTCCATGGTTCCAGTCACCACCAACCAGGTACCTGTTTTTTTTGGTGTACTAATTTTTGGAGACTTTTAGGGGATGGATACCATGGATATAACAATGATTCACAAAAACGGTTTAATAGATGTGTTTAATGAGACATGAATGGAAGTGGATTTGTTTGACCAAATCATCTGGATTCAGCCTCAATCAAACATTCTTTGCTGGAAAATCCTCGATTCAATTCGATGATGTTCCCATAAATGTTTGAGGACACCGAACAGTATAAGCAACATCTTTGAATGCAAGAGGTCAATTATAAGTAGTTTTTTTCATTGGTAGTCAATGGGCAATCACGCAACAGGATGAGTTGCTTCACAATAAAGTCCGATAGCAAAATGTGCATAAAACCATCAAGTGGTTATCTGGTTGGTGGTGCAATAACCATCTTGAAAAATATTAGTCAAATAGGATGATTATTCCCAATATATGGAAAACATGTTCCAAACCATCAAGTGGTTATAAAATGGTAGAAATTTCGAGCTTTGCCTTCCTCTTTGAGAGTGTCAGATATGTTCACGTCGTCTGAATTGTATTTGTATCCGCACTTTCATGGGATGGGCGGTCCAGCATCTTGTGAAAACCCTTAGCAGTGGCAACATACCCATGAGTCTTCATTGGCGTTGCTAAACTCCCCACTTTGTTGCTAGACAAAATAAACGACAAAATACAAAACGACCCGAGATTTGGTTTCACTTTTCCCTCACAGAAAACATATGCGTGCTTAATGCTATTGATTAATACCCCATTTCTGATTCCTGGTGCCGCAGTTTTCTCGGTTTCTACCCAATGATTGATGCTTTATACCACATGTTTGATTGTTTATTCCCAACATAAAATGGTTTACCCTCCGATAATCTTGTTGGCTAATATACCACATAACAAGTGGGTGTGTCTGAAAATTGAAGAGCAAACATACACATGCATAATCATATCACTTCTCCTATTAGATTGCCATTTCAGGGATCATATTTGACCATTTTCTACTAAAATCCACTGCTTACCCTCTGGTAAACTAACAGTGTGCTATTGAAAATGGCCCATTTATAGTTGATTTAGCTATGAAACATTGTGATTTTCCAGAGTTTTTTGTTTACCAGAGGCTACTTCCCATTAAATCCCATCAAACCACCATTTAAAAAAAAAAACTCATTAAACCACCATTAAAAAAAAACTCGTTAAACCACCATTTTCCCATGGCACTTCCCATTTTCCCCTAATACCTGGCCATAACTTGGGGGCGAAATCCCGCCACGCGACGCTACTGGCGACGTTGCTGACGCTCTTCCGCAAACGTTTGCTGGACTCCTGGGCGGCACAGGGCAAGGGGGCTTTAAGCCACCCAAAATTATAGCAAACTGTGGAAGAAAAAAGAGTACCAGTATTTCGGCAGAAATTGGCATTTAGCATGATTCAATCGACAGAAAGATCAGGAAATGACCAACAAAAACTGGGGAACATGATCGAAAATTCTCATACATCCAAATTGTCTTTGCTGTCCTTATCATAGCCCGGATCTATTTGGATTCCGGGCTTGATGCAGCCAATGGAGCGGATCCGTTGCTGAAGCATCCTATGGTTCAAGCGTTTAATTCATAGCGAAGTTTGGCATCACATTCCCTCATAAAACATCCACATTCCAGGCTTTACTGGCAAATATCCAACTATTCTTGGTTCATCTACCATTGTTCGTGGCTCATATGTATATAATATATTTCTACACCGTATATAATTATATGCCACCTTTTTGTATCTTGTTGATTCTTTTTGCTCCATGTTTGATGATGGTTGGCATCTTCAATTTTTCGCAGCATTTAAGACCCTGTGTCATTCCATGAAATACTGGTTGGTTGAGAACAGGATTCACAGTTTGCGGATGATGATGATAATCCCCAACTACAATCCCGTACCATCATCAACCAACATGGGTTTTGAAACCTGCTCATATGTGCCATGTTCAAAACATGGCATATTACACTGGGGAATGCTCATCCTACCATCATGATTCAAATTCCCCGATGAAAGGGTATATCAACCCCTGTGGAAATGGAAGATGACCATTCCCTTTGATGAGAAATACCCTCCGGCAAACATGGCGTGCTGGTAAATCCCCCAGCAATAGTTCAAGGATGTTCGATGATGTTAGTGGCTCATTCCCGTTAGTGGGTTAGTGGGTTCGTTCACCCCAGTTATAAATGGGATAAGTAGGGCGATATAATCCACTTATAACCCACTAACTGGGATGACCCTGAGGACCTGTCTGGGGAGGACCCTGAGGACCTACCGTGGGCGACCCATGGACCCTGCCTGCAGCGTGTCGTCAATGGTCTGCCTGTTCCTCTTCAGCACAGGCAACACAAACCTGACGCGGAGAGGAATCGTGCTGGGTTTAACATGGTTAAAATCATGAAAAATGGCGATTTGATGGGATAGCCCATGGAATATGAATGAATATAAGCTAAAAGATATAAGTATATATATATATATATAAGTGATGTACCCATCAAAAATTATAATTTAAATAATTTAATGATGATTTTTCATGATTCAACCATCAAACATGTTGGTGGTACAATGGGGATAGAATGGATTTCCCACATTACCAGGCTTATCATGATAAAGTAAAACTAGAACACTTTGGGGGTCTGATGCCATCATGTGTTTTTACGCATATTTTTTTTACATACAATATAATATACATATATATCATATATACTGTATTCCTGTATGTAGGTAACTCAGAATATGTCACAAATCTAATATATACAATTTTGGAACGAGCTCTCCTATGAGAAATCAATTAGATGTGCGGTCGTTGAGAGGAATTTTCCCTATGTCTATCTACCTGCCTACCTATCTGTCTTTCTATCCATCTCTTTACATATCTATCTATGTGCCTGTCTATCGACGCAATTCAATGTTTTATATAATGATATGACGAAGCCAAATAAATAAAGCACATGCCACTGAAATAAATGTCAATGTAAAAGTTACTGAAGATGTTGTCTCTTTGTCAGTAGTCATAATCCCTACTAGTAACTAGTATTTACCAATGGATGTCCATCCTACTTAATGCTGTGCGTTGGTAGCTCTTATCTTCAACAAAATCAGTCATATAAATTCGACTCCAAGTTCCATGTGCCAACATGGAACAAGTTATGCAAACGCTTCATCATCTTGAAATCAGCCCTCTTTGTTGGCTTCATCCACTCAATATTTTTGTCGAACGCCTTGGCTTCTCATTTCTGTTGGTTGAACACGATTTTGCGGAATCCTCAAATGTTCTTTCTGGATTCAGTCTGATCTTCTTATGTTATCTGCGCATTGACAACAATAAACGCTCTTGTGTTGATTCTATCCACGAGCATGTTTGAAAAATAACCTCATCGGTGTGCTTGCTCTCCAACAGTTCCATCCCATTTCTGATGGTAAAAACACTATTAGTGGAAATATGATAAATATATATATATATATATATTATGATTGTATATATATATATAAATGATCATATATGATATTACCATGTCTGATGGTAAAATCATGTTCAATCTACATGTTTAATAGGCACTCCGTACTTCCAAAAACCTGGAGATGTCCATCTAGTAAAGCTATCCCTAAGAATACCAGGTATATGGGTGGTATAAAGCTTCGACAATGGGAGTTTTATTGCGTGGTGGGTGTCCCATATTATACACAGTGTGTATATATATATATATAAATATATACTGTATTTGACCTTCATTTAGGATTCATTTGTATTTAGGATCTACTTTTCTATGTTTCTGATGATATATGTTCATAACATGATAATATATATATATACACATGTATATATGATATATCCATATCCTGGTCAATCTTTGATAGTCCACAAAAGAAAGGCTCGTTTGCTGGTGATGGTTATGTTCCATGGCAAAAGACTCGTTGGGATTAGTTTCTAGCCATCCAGTAGGCTGGGGATGTAGTGGATAAAATAAAACGAACATGGAAAAAATATGGAAAATAACAATGGTATTTCATGATAGTCCGTAATAGTCTGGGGATAAAATTTTCCACTATACATTTTCCAGTAGGTTTAGTATTATATTGGCTAAAATCCCAGAGCCACTCGTAGACCAGGGGACCAGTTGTAGACCCGCTCGGCTCCCTTGCTCTTGGCTGCCGACCTTTTTGGAAAAAATCATGACGGTCAAGCATCTACAAATGGGTTATTTTGGGATATAAATAGAACAAATTGTAGATAATTATACAGGATGGTGCCCCCCAGTTACAAGTATAGTTATATCTACCATAAACCATAGCTAAGCCCCTTACAAGGCAACTTAGCTATCTTGGGGGCCCCATCCTGTATGTATTAATATAGGAACATGAATGAATACATGGACCCTTGAAACCATTCAAAGCCGTTCATTTCAAGAGAAAAGTATATAGTCTCCCAGCCTCTTTTTGGCAGGGTCGGCGTTGGTTCGAGGAAGGAGAAGTGACTGAGTATATAATGATTGGACAAAATATCTCGAAAACGGTGTGGGAAATTCAGATACCTAAATAACTGTGATTAGTTCGGCTCCATTCAGCCCACAGAGTCATTCATCTTTAGTACTGAACTATCCAGCTTTGAGGATCAATGCCTTTGACGTTGCAGTGGATACTATAAGTACATACAAGTACCAGCTATGATAAGGTGTTCAATCGGTCAACATGTCTTTCACAGACTTGAGTGCCACAAACTGATGGGTCAATCTCTGGGACCTTAACCACAACGATTTGACCATATCCATCATCCATTGTCGATGTAGATGAAGACGTAGTAACTGAGTACCTGCACACTATGACTGGTTGGTGGTTTCAACCCCTCTGAAAAATATTAGTCAGTTGTTGGGATGATTATCCCATACATTATGGAAAATAAAAAATCTTCCAAACCACCAACCAGCTATGATGTCTGTGTCCTCCCATGACCCTTATTTCATGTGGCCAAACATTTTAAAAGACATGGTGCATCATCCCAATTCAACCTCGCAACCCCAATTCACAAGGGGATCCCAGAGGATCCCAAAAAGGTGCAGGTCAAGTAGCAAAAAGAGAAGCGTCCCAAGCTTCAATGGATAGTAGAATGGAATCCAAACGACCACATAATAGAAGAGGCATTCCTTGCGCATGCGCAGTTTGCGAACTGGAACATCACCATTTTTCATGGGCAAATCAACTAGAAATGGCCATTGTCAATAGCAAACTGGTAAATTATCAGGTATAACGGTATAACCCATGAACCAGTGGTCTGCCAGTGAGATGTCAAAACCCGAGCCCAACACCAACGCCTCAAATAAAAACACCCTCAGTACTTGGTGGCTCATCCCACGGCTCGTAAATGGGTTATAAGCCCAGTTACAAATGGGACAAGTAGGGTTAATCCACTTGTACCTGGGGTGATAACTCACAACCACGAGCCGTGGGATGAGCTACCAAGTAATCAAATCTGTCCGGAAAATCCCCATCTTTCTGTGCAACTTCCTGCCTCACCTTAGCCAGCTAGCCTTTTGTAGCAAGCATCGAAGGAGGTGATTGCGGCAAGCACAATCCAATAAGTGAGCCAGAACTGCATGCCTCATTTCGATTTCAGATCAGCCTGGAGATTGCGATTCAAAACATCGGTACATGATGGTAGCTGTTTGAGTCTGGTCTGCTTTCAGTTCTTTTTCATGGGTCATGACTGATGTCCCCATTTTTCACATCACCCAACCATTAGGTATATGGTCTATAATGGCTACTTTTTCAGGTGATGTCCAATATTCCCAAAATGGGACAGTTACCAACCCCTGTTTTTAAAACGGGAAACATCAGGGGTCCTCCCAGGTTTTGTTCCGCAAATCCACGGGATTCACATTGTTTCATCCACTGGGGAGATCATTGGGGATGGCTTGGAACCATCTGCCGAGAAGCCCGTGGCTTTCAAATATGTTTGATTCACGTTGTCCTCCAACGGAGCACCGCCAAGGGGGCGGTAGAACCCAACTCTGCTGGTCATTTTGAATGCCCAGAAAGATCCTTCTGAAAGGACAACCAAAAAAGAACTATAAATCTAAATGACACTAGCGTTTAATTTAATTGGTTTATATATATATATATTAATATATATGTGTGTGTGTGGCAATATCGTGTTTCATCCACAATTGTCCATCATTTTCCTGCTGAGAATCCCATTCATACCATTTTCATCCATTTTTACTGTTGGTATTCCCACATGCTGGGGCCCTCAGTCTCCATGGGTTGTTGGTTTATAACCCCCAAAAAAAACTACGAATCGATGTATCCCCTATTCATCAACAATTATTGTAGTGAATTGTAGTGAATAACATGGATAGATACTGATAGGTACTGATAGATCAATGGATATCAATATGTATCCACGAAATTTATACTGGTTGGTGGTTGACCTACCCCTCTGAAAATGATGGAGTTCGTCAGTTGGGATGATGAAATTCCCAATATATGAAAAAAAAATGTTCCAAACCACCAACCAGATTATTGTAGTGAACTGTTCACCAAAATCTGTGTTTCCCAGTTCAACCTCCAGCTCAGGGGACGTTAAATCACCATATTTTCCCCATGGAAATCCCGCAACTTTGTTGCTTAAATCCCAGGATTTCCCATAAAAGTTCCATAAAAGTCCCATAAAAGTCCCATAGATGGAAACTTAAAATTCCCATTTAAAAAAAAAAGGTACCCTCCAGTCAGTAAATTAACATAGACCCTGCCAGATAGGGGTTGAAAGACTAGTTTCCACTATAAATTGGTCAGTTTCAGGGTCTATGTTAATTTACCAGAGGGTATCGTTTTGTTTCCATTTTTTTCCGGTGAATCGCTAGCCCTCCTGAGGATCTTTGAGGCTGGAGAATTCTTCGATGGCTTTGAAGGACTCGAAGGCTGGGTAGGCCACGCCAAAGACGGTGCACCTGGCGCGAAAAAAACAAGGCAAACAGATATAGACACAGAGCTTGAGGTGTGCATGTGTACATAGATTATATGTATACATATTATATATATATATACTAATTTAGTATATCATATAATTATATATATATATATATTATTATATATAGAGATACTATATGTATATGTTACATATGTGTTATACATCATAAATTATAATCCGATATAAATGGATATAATAGGTTATGTGTAAGGACTCTTTACAATGGCTGATGGAAGCTGAGATCCTAGTCCAACTGGAGGGCAGCTCATCAAATCATGGGACCTGGAAAATAGATGAAAAATCGCATCCAGCAGGTCATTTCAGAGTTAAGTTTTTTCTCTGCCTCCATCCCAATGGTCCCCAATGGTCCATCAAATGAGAAAAGACTGTTGCCCTATAATTGCCACGTCAAGTCATCTTCCCCTCCTGTTTTTGACTGAAGAACTGAACATCATACATAGAACATCATAGAACATCTATATAGTTTCAACAGCCCCAACATCATGTCGCTTCGATTTTCGAATGGTCCGACTTCAACGTTTATCCAAAGTGGCGAAAACATCACCACCAATCCTTCAGCTTTGGCCACCTCTTTGCTGGATTTTTGTTTGGGTCATCTATAAAGGACCGAGCCACACAAGCTGCCCACCAATGCCGTACAGGAAAAAGATCACAGCCAGAATCAGAAATCCCAATCCAACCACAACCTCGGGAAAAGATCTCCACAAGAACCTCTCTGGCCTCTGAAAATTTAGGATATTCTGGAAAATTAGGATATTTAGGGGACCTTAGGCCCCCCCCCTTAATTCCAATGGATTATTAGCATCATTCCCATTGAAATGGCCGTCTGTACAGGGTATGCCCCATGAAAAAAAGACCTGTATGAGAAGGGAACATCAGTCATCCTGCACAGGTGCTTTATGAGTAATTCAAACAGAACCAGCTGATTGGGAAACCCAGAAATTACAAAAAAAAATGGGTTGGGCATGGCTATGGCTTGTAATTTACCCCAGAAATTTGGTCTTAGTCATTGGTTTGTTGCACAAAACAGCTGCGGCCCCAAGGCGACTATCTTCAGATACCCTCCTGTAAACATGTGGAGAACCAACTATTTCGAATAATCCTTTTCCGAACGTATCTATGGTTATCATATATCTATGGTTGATACACGGTTTATGGTTGTATGAGTACCTATAGACCCTCCAAATCCCGGGAAAAAACGTATGGCTTTCCGAAACTATGTTCCTTTTGCTCAACAGCTGCCGAACTTCCGAGTCAGGCGACCGGGGCAACTTGCAACCGGCGTGCCAGTGGCATGATCAATGGCACTTCGCTCCTGAAACGTGGGAAGGCCGTGTGCGACACTTCAAGGCAGGGAACATCCCAAAAAATGCAAAAAAATATGGTAAGCTCCATTGATCCTGAACAAACCCACTGATGTGAGGACTTTTTTGGTGGTACAACAATTTTTTTGGCTCCCTGGATCAACTCCCCAACAGCCCAAGTCAGGGAAAATCAAGACTATGATCAAGAGTCAAGAGTGTTAAATGAAGCCATTATAACCAATAGTGTTGGATTTCGATCAACTTCCCCTTCAACATATTTGAGCATATTTCAACAATTTCTCAAAAACCAGCGAAAGTTGAATCTAATTATTCATACCCTCAGAAACGTGAAAATGCCCCGTTCCGAAAAAAATCCAGTCATTGGCTTTGTCTGAAAATAATGATTCCAAAGAATTCTGACTAAATTGTTATCACCATATTTTTCCATCATGAATAATAATGAATATATACCCTCTGGTAATTTAACATAGCTATTGAAATTGGCCATAGAAATAGTGAGTTTTCCCATTAAAAATGGTGATTTTCCATTGTTTTCTGTATGTTTACCAGAGGGTATACCCCATAGTTTATCTATGCCGCAAATCTCAAGGCCAAGCGTCAGCTCTGTGTTCACCGCGTCCCAACGTTTGCCCCGCAACCAGCTGGGGGCCCAACTGTCGCTGGGCGCGTCCGCGAAGGACCGCGGCACGTTGGACACGGTCCGTGGAGGCACCACGGACGGCGGTGGCGAGGGCTTTAGGTCCGTGACAAGGCCTGGGTGGATGAAATGGCGAAGTTGATGAGATATGATAGATAAATGGTAATAATGATAGATAATGATAGATCATGATAGATAATGATAGATAATATTGTAACAATAATAAAACCAGTATAAACCAGTAATATGATAGGTAATGATACTAGTAATATGGCTAAGCATATTTAGTAATGATGAATAAAACCAATGGACAAATGGATTGATTTCCTAGGATTACCCAGTTGTATGATTGGGTGCGTCTAGAAATGGGACCCTAGAAATTGCTATCTCATAAGGGAGAATGATTGATCGATGTTGGGGTATCCTATTAGAAGATTTGGATAGATTTGGAAGATTTATCCCAAAATCTGGAGATATGAGATATTGCATGAGAATCTTAGGGTTTGAATTTGTTCAAGTAAAATGAGGATCGCAAACTGAAAAAAGAGAGATGAAGTTGCCTTCCAATGTGATAGAAACTGGGAAAATTACAATAATTCACAAATCTGAAAGTTCGGCTAACTTGCGATAGTTGCCCTTTACCAACCATCATTCCAGTGAGGTGGCAGTGAGGTCGCTATCATTCATCAAGATATATATATATTTATATTTAACAAAAAAATATACCATGAATGTTTTGGGCAAATAATATAAGCCAGTAGTATTGTCAACCCCGGATTAATAAACCATGGTTTATTAATTTTTCGGGGCACTCCCCCAATAGTCATTTCATCTGATACTTTTTTATGGTACCCTCCCAATTAAACAGCCTAGGCTAGGGGTTTATTAATCCATGGTTGACATTACCAGCCTAGTTTACCAGGCCGGGTAAATCCCATTAAATCCCATTAAACCACCATAAACCCTCATGAAAAATCACCAATTTCCTATGGTTTTTCCTATGGTTTTCCTATGAAAGTTGGCTATCATAGTCATTCGAATCGAATATTTCAGGTCCTATCAAGTCTCATGAAATCACCGTGAAATCACAGGGAAAGACCCGGCCTGGTAAACGAACTAACAGTTTGCAAACTGGAAAATTGCCATAGAAAAAATTAGTGGATTTACCCAGCTATAAGATGGTGGATCTTTCCTGTTCGTTTTCTGTATGTTTACCAGAGGTTAGATCAATTCCCATAGAATATAGCATAACCCATAGGATCCATGGTGCTGGTATATATGGTAACATAGATCCCATCAATATACCCCAGTCATGTTAGCATATATACCAGCACCATGGATCCTATGGGTAATATAACGATGTGGAGCCTGTTCCCCGAAATCGGCCTGTTGGCACTTCTCCGGGTGGAGTCGTAGGTAGAGGCAACTCCTGAGTTTTCCGGGAAAAACATGGCGTGAGAACCCAAGAAATATAGGAAAATCATAGGAACATACGCGAAAACCCCCGTATAAGTTGAGGTTTTGATGGGAAAATCACTGTATATATATATATGTAACTCTATATATATATAAAACTATATATATATAACTCTACATATATATAACTATACATAATAACTATATATAAATCTATATATAACTATATATATAACTAAATATATAGATATAACTATATATATATAACTATATATATAATATATAGTTATATATAACTATATATATAACTATATATATAACTACATATATAACTATATATATATTTATAACTACATATATATAACTATATATATATAACTATATATATATAACTATATATATAACTATATATATAACTATATATATAACTATATAAATAACTATATATATAACTATATATATAACTATATATATAACTATATATATATAACTATATATATATAACTAGATCTATAACTATATATATAACTATATATATAACTTTATATATATAACTATATATATAACTATA